AAAAAAAAAAAAAAAAAGCAGGGAGAAGAGGTTTAAAAAAAATGTGTGGCAGTGCCCGTAGCTCAGTGGGTGATGGCCACATACACCAAGGCTAGAGGGTTCGAATCTGTCCTGGGCCAGCTAAACAATAATGACAACTGCAACAAAAAAACAGCTGGGCTTGGCACCTGTAGCTCAGGGGCTAGGGTGCCAGCCACAGAAACTGGAGCTAGTGGGTTCGATCTCAGCCCAGGGCCTGCCAAACTACAATGACAACCATAACCAAAAAATAGCTTGGTGTTGTGGTGGGCACCTGTAGTCCCAGTTACTGTGGAGGCTGAGGCAAGAGAATCTCTTAAGCACAAGAATTTGAGGTTGCTGTAAGTTATGACGTGTTGGCATTCTACCAAGGGCGACATAGTGAGACTCTGTCTCAAAAAAAAAACAAAAAACAAAAAACAAACAGCCAGGTGTTATGGTGGGCGCCTGTAATCCCAGCTACTTGGGAGGCTGAGGCAAGACAATCCCTTAAGCCCAAGAGTTTGAAGTTGCTGTGAGCTGTGATGCCATGGCATTCTACTGAGGATGACATAGTGAGACTCTGTCTCAAAAGAAAAAAAAAGGTACATTTAGCTACAATTTCCCATTTTCCCTATGTATGGTGTTTATGGGCAACCTTTGGGGCACCCTGTATGTATGTTGCATTGTTACAGAAATATTTAAGGCTCAAGACATGGATTGGGTGTCCCTGGCTCAACCCCACCCATGCAATAGTAGTGTGGAGGGGGTAGGGTGTCCTGGGGAGCTCTGACAGCCTGGGGTGGGACAGCTGTAGAAGGACCTTATAGGCCAGGCCTGGGATTTAAACTTGATCTCCAAGAGAAATGGGGAGCCAAAGAAGTGTCCTTCCCTGCTAGAAAGCTATTCCATCCACAGTCAAGAAGGTTGGATGGGGGCAGGGAGAACCCTTAGGAGGCCCTTCTAGGGCAGGAGAGAGGTGGCTGAGGCAGGGATCGAGAACATTTTAGACTATAGAGTAAACAGAATTCAACTCTACTGACTTAAACAATACAGGAAATGTATTATCTAACATAAAAAAGATTCCAAAGTTGAGGCAGTAGCAGTTGGTAAATTCCACAGCTGATGGCTTCCCTAGAGGGCCGGCTTCCCTCCACTACCTTACTTTGGTTACTTTGTTCTCCTCTGTGTGGTTTTGCTTTTGTTCTTCAGATTGCCACTTTGTGTAAGAGGATGACTGTAGTATCTCCAAGCATTGTATTCCAACCAGCATTTATTTTTATTTTATTTATTTATTTTCCTTTTTTTTTGTAGAAAGAGTCTCACTTTATTGCTCTCGGTAGAGTGCCATGGTGTCACACAGCTTACAGCAACCTCCAAATCCTGGGCTTAGGCAACTCTCTTGCCTCAGCCTCCCAAGTAGCTGGGACCATAGGTGCCCGCCACAACCCCTGGCTGTTTTTTAATTTTTCTGAGACAGAGCCTCAAGCTGTCGCCCTGGGTAGAGTGCTGCGGCATCACAGCTCACAGCAACCTCCAGCTCCTGGGCTTAAGCAATTCTCTTGCTTTGGCCTCCCAAGTAGCTGGGACTACAGGAGCCCACCACAACGCTGGCCTACTTTTTGGTTGTAGTTGTCATTGTTTGGCAGGCCCGGGCTGGATTCAAACCTGCCAGCTCTGGTGTATATGGCTGGTGCCTTAGCTGCTTGAGCTACAGGTGCTAAATCACGCCTGGCTATTTTTTTGTTACAGTTTGGCTGGGGCTGGGTTTGAGCCTGCCACCCTTGGCATATGGGACCAGCGCCCTATGCACTGAGCCATAGGCGCCGTCCCCAAACAACATTTAAAGTCCAAAAGGGGAACAGAAAATATATTCTTTTCTTAAGCCCTTCATAAGCATAAGGAAAACCTCAGCTTCCAGGGTCAGAATGAACTGCAAGCCCATTTTAAAAATCATCACTGACAAGGGGAATTAAATTTAAAATATTGTCCCAGGCCGGGCAGTGGCTCATGCCTGTAATCCTAGCACTCTGGGAGGTAGAGGCAGGTGGATGGCTTGAGCTCAGGAGTTGGAGACCAGCCTGAGCAAGAGTGAGACCCTATTTCTAAAAAACAGCTGGGTGTTGTGGCAGATGCCTGTAGTCCCAGCTACTTGAGGCAAAAGGATCACCTGAGCCCAAGAGTTTGAGGTTGCTGTGAGCTATGATGCTATGGCACTCACTCTACCAAGAACAACAAAGTGAGACTCTATTTAAAATAATAATAATAATAAAAGGGGGTCAGCAGGGCTGCATTCCTTCTGGGGCTCTAGGGGAGAATTCATTTCCTTGCCTTTTCCAGGTTCCGTGGCTCATGGCCTTACATCACTCTGCCTTCTGATGCAGTTGTCACATTTTTTCTGTTTCTGACCCTCC